CCAAACAACCCATCGGGGTGAAAACTGCCCCATCGCACTGCTTGTGTGTTTCACCCCTGATGAAACTGGGGCGGGAGAGCGGGGAACACCGATGGTGGGAGGGCAGCGACAGGCGCAGCCCCAGTCACATTGGTTCACACCATCCATGAATCCCTTGCTATCAGACGAGTATTGACACCGTTGATGGTATCCTTAGAAACACACCTGGTAGCTTTAGTCAAACGCTTTCCTCTAGTATTCTGCTTGCCTTGAAGATGAAAGCTATTTCCTTGTGATCTGAGTGTTACAGGCTAAGTTTCTTATGGTGCGTTTTCTGGAAGGAGTCCAGAGGGTTTGCACTTGTTCCCCAACAGAAAGTCAGCTGAAGAGATGCTCTCCAAGAGATCTTTAAGCACTGTTTGGGACTATTCAAGTTATAGGCTGTAACTGGTCTGGCTACCAGTTCAGTTGCCATTCAGAGTAACTAGCCAGCTAGCCATGTACGGCATAGTCATGAGATGCTATAATCTCATAATTTCATTCAGTCACCAGGCAGGATGATGCAAGTTCAGTTATTTGCAGTTTGCTGATGGTCTTCAGAGCAGGGCAAGCTGTTACTACAAACCTTGGCACAGGGATGAAAATAAGTTCTCTTCCAGATCTGTATCTCAGAAGAAAAAAGAAAATCATCAGAAAGTAAAAGAAGATATTTTTAATAACTGCCCTTATGTGGACATCTACGAGGAGTCCAGTAGGATCCTAATGCTTTAAACTGTCTTGGCAGTCTCAGCAGCTGGTTTTGTGTAATGATGTTTCTTCAGAATGAAAACTCTTCAGGCTTCTCATTCTGAGCTCACTTCATTGAGAAGTAAGGTCACTAAATGTTCGCAGTCTGGGTTGAGAGTGGAAGTGTAACTTTTGTTCCCTTCCTCCTAGCATCACTCGTGTCTGAGGAGAACTGAGGTGATCTCCACGCCCTTATTTTATTCTGACATTGTAAGAAAGCTCCTCTTGGGTAGTAGTATTGTAAGCTGCTCTTGCAAGCCTTATCAGTGAGTTTCTACTGAATAGTTGTTAGTAGATGAGCTCTGTTGTTCCAGGAGGAAGAAGAAAGGGGAGAGAAGATCAAAGGATTACAGGGAGGTATTTCCTAGGGAGGAGCAGACCCTTTTCAGTGTGTATATCTGCTTCTTGTAGATACAGTCGGTAAATTAAAAAACAATTTCAATGTATAGGGTAGAAGTTGCAAATAAGTACAGGGCAAGATACCTACTTGTAGCTCTGGAGAGATAGAACAGCATGGTTTTATGCTGTTGCTGTCTCAAGTGGCAACCTGAGATGGAATGAACAAGTGTGTTGCTGCAGTTTGCCAGGTGCTGCTGCTAACGTTGGCAAGGTCTGTAGTGATCAGCACAGGGAGGCTGGGGACAAGCTGGTTATGTGAGCTTGTTGACCCTGAGAAAGATTTTTCCCGAATCTAAGCTAGTCCAGTCAGTGGATTTAATGGCTGTTGATGTAAAACACAATTATTTGCCTCCTCTGTCCAGGGGGACCTACGTCTGCTCAGGTCTTTATGTTGATCCTGGAAGTGCAGGAAGCTTGGTGCAAAGATTGGCCCTTGTTCATTCAGGTGCTCACTCATGCAGGAGCTCTCCGAGCTGACAGCAGTGCCTTCCCTGGTGAATGTCCCTGTCCGTAAAACTTGATCTGATCCAACTTTGAACAAACTTCAAGTGGGATGCCAGATGCATTTATTTGGATTAGGGTGGGCTTTTTTGTATTAGTGACAAGTGGAAAGAGGGATGTGTTACTGATGCTTGCAGATGTGTTAATACTGTGATGGTGCCTGTTGTGGGTGGCATATTGCTGCTATGGTGATATGTTTTCTTAAATCATCACTTTTAAATGCCCTTTCTATATGTCCTTGTGTATCCTATCAGCAGGGCAGTAGGGAAGGAGTGTACATTTGGGTTCAAGTGTGTTTGTGCTTTTTGTCTTTTCTCAGCCACCATCTTTCCCCCCTTTACAAAGGGGGACAACACCACTGAGTTGTACAGTTACCTTGTCCTCTGGTTTTGTAGTTAAAAGCTACAGTGGCCTCAATCCTTGTGTCTTTTTAAGAGAGCTTATTTTTAGGAAAACCAAAGAAATAATTGACTTCTGATTTTTGCTTCTGACACAGGCTTTGGCAGTAATCTGTTTTGGTGTATACATCTTGGTGTATGTCTTTTAAACCCCCTCCAAAAACCAGGGTAATGCCCAGTGCAACGGTGGCGAGAAACTGAATCCCTTTAACAATGCAAACTTGTGAGGTTCCAGATGGAAGCGTATTGCGATGTCCTGAGTACTGCTGCTGTCTCTGGGTTTCCCTGCAACCTCCTGTCTCTGCTCCCCCTCTGCGCTTGCTTTTTTTTTTTTTTTTTTTTTTTTTTTTAATTCTTTACAGGGAATGGCAACAATTGCCCAGAGGTTTTGCTTGTTTAATGTTCTCCTTCCTCCCCGGACGGAAACTGTAACTCTTCCCATAGCTTCCCTCTCCAGCTTCCTTTCGCTTTCTGGAGCTGTTTGCTTACTGCTACTTTCCAAACCCCTTGGTACTCCTGTTTCCGTGGTGACACGGGGTGGGGTCTCTGTTCCATATGTGATGCTGACAGGCGCAAAAGTGAGCCGATTCAGCCTCACCAGCTTGGGCCAGGCTGCCCTGCGCCTGACTTCCAGTGCTGGGAGACCGTGTGGCCATCGCCTAGGGTGCCCGCACCCACACCTCCTGGCAATCTGACTTGCCTCAGTCTCTCCCTGTGAAGTGCATGTGGGCTTTTTCCACAGTGGGTCTTCACAAAGGGTATGGTTTGTTATTATAAAATAAGGGGATGGGGAGAGGAAAAAGGTCAGTGCATGTAAAAGGGGCTGTTGGCTAGAAGGACCTTCTTCCCTGCTCTCCCTCCATGATACATTCTATAGGTAGTCTTTCCTGCCTAATGTAGTTGCATACTTTGTCCATCTTCTGGGTTTTTTTAAGCATGGCCTACCATAGTTATAGAAATCTTTGTTAAAACAAAGCCAAACCTATTTGGAGCAGCATTCTGTGGGCTTTTTGGCTGGCATGTTTTCTGAAGGCTGGGGCATGTGTGTGTTCCTGTATTGTGTTCCCACTCTACATTTTTCTTCCCCCCTCCATCCAGATTAGCAAGGCATCTACAAAAAGAGGCGCAGTCTCAGCACAACAACTCAGAATTCACAGACGATCAAAAGGTGAGTATTGCTGTTTGCTCAGTCAAGGAGCTTAACTTGTAGATGTTGATGTTTATTATGTTGGTTTTTTATTTCGCAGACCAGAAGGCCTTATGAGACCTTTTTTATGCCCTCAATATACGCACAGAAACAGAGCCTGACATGGCTAAAACAGTTGCTGTCATTAGATGTGACAGATGCGTGGCTGTGTAATACTGAATGTCATGCATGCTGACCAGAGTCCTTCATAACCTGGGTGTTTCTTTTTTTGGGTGACCTTTTGATAACTTGCTTATACAACGTTAGCACAACTTGTGTTGTGAAGTCTGAATACAAAATGTCTTGAACTGCAGACATTGAGGGTGTGTAAGGAGGATATTAGCTTAACATGTGACACCTGACTGGGAAGGGGCCTGATAAAATACTCCCTAGTAGTCTCTTAGAATGTTATTTGTTTATAATCTTTCAAAATATTGAAATTACTTTACTCCTTCCTCCCTCCCCTCAGTTGAAAAGGCTGTTTCTTGTCTCAGCATCATATTAATGCAATTCTGTGACAGGATTTAAGAGGAAGAAGCTAGTTGAGGTCTCATACACTCAAGCATTTTCAGCAAAATAGAATTTTTTGCAATATGAGGCCCTGATGAATTTTTGAGTCTTGTATAAAGACCTGTTTTCCTTAGGAATACCGAATTACAGAACCCCTGTATTTGCACATTTCCAAGTTGTAACATCACTTGTTTGAGCAATGGTGTTGCCTGAAAATTGACTTTTGCTAGCCCAGAATCTCACCTATGGTAATAGGGTACTAGAGTAATGGGATCTGTGTTTGGAAATGTTGGTCCTGAAAACAGGTCGTGGCTACAGAAATTGGAGATGAACTTGATGTGTTTAAAGAAACTCATTACAATGAAATACACCTTTACATGGAGTTTGACAGAGGTTTGTAACTATTTCCTCAAGGTGTACCAATAAGAAAAACAAAGAGCAGGTCTTCCATGTTCTGTTTACCTTCTGCAAAGAAGAAGATAAGGCTCAGGTTTGTCTTAAATTGAGTCATAATCTTGGAGAAGGATTTGGTCCACCTTTTCTGAACTGAAGGCTTTGGAGGTTTGTTAATGTTGGACAGCTGTTTGATTTGACTCTTTGATTAGTTCTGCTCTCTATCCCTTGCTGGTAGCTTTCTCCATCATTCATAGCTATAGTCATCTTTGCTGCATGTTTCCCCTCTGTGGATACTTTTGAAAATATGGTTACTTTATCAAGGCCAAGCTGTTAATCTCACTTCCAGAGGCATCATCTCCTGTGAATATGGCAACAAGAACCACACAGGGCTTTGTTTCCAGATGTTCCCTGAATCTTGTGGAAAGGACCTTGGATCAGATTGTGGAAGTGAGTGAGGTCAGCCATGAGGAAAGGCCTGGGGGGCTCAGGAAGCAGAGATAACTGACCTCAGATGTTAGATGCGCAACTGTGATCATGTCTTAAGGCAACAGTCTTCTGAAAAGAAAAACTAAGGAGTGGCTGTTTTGAATCCTTGCAGAGTGATACCTGTTTCTGAAGCTGATAAAACTTACGAAAGAGGTTGACATTTATATCACTTGCTTTTTTTTGCAGATCAGTAAGGGGATGATGCACTGAAATTTTTGAGCCTGGTTATCAAATGGTGGTGCCTATCTCATTAGCCACATATACAGCTGAATTCCCCAACATTTTGCTGAGAGAACATTCTATTTCCCTCCTCTACCATAAGGAATGCTAGTCACAACAAAAATCAGAGTGTTGCTGCTGCTTTGAAAGAAGCACTTAAAACTATATGGCAAAATCTTTCAGTCCGACATTAAGGTCCTTGCTGTTCTGGTCTTCCCTATTTCTGCAGGATCTCAGCCAGTATAATTTACGGATCATGACCAGTTACTATCATCGCTAGTATCATTCACTTGGCATGTAGGAGTAGAGTTTAGCATGCTTCTGGATTTTCAAGCAGTTTGGTTAAATAGAAGTGTATCTTCTCTCTTGCCACCCTTCAAAAATCTACATGCCAAAACAGCTACTTTTGCTCGACTAAGTTCCTTCCAATGCATCCACCAGCATGGTATTTCCTTTTGGTTCCAAAAAGTTTCTTTCCCCAATAACTTGTCTTTCTGAGGTTCTGCATGTCATATAAAAGCCACCTCTTTATTTTTCAGAATGTAGGAGAGTGTGTAAACTTCAGGATTTGCTTATCTGATATTACTGGCCAAGGTTGTGCACAGATTTTCATAGATTAGAGAAGGCAAGGCTGTGAAGCTAATTATGATTTCCAGTTGCTTGATCTAGCCTTGTTCCAGTCTGTGTAGATTTGCAGTTAGGTGTTTTCCAAAGGACCATACATGCTGCTGAGAATTACTGCGAGGTTGTCATTGTTTCTTACTTGACATACTCGGTAGGGAAGATGGATTTCAGCAGTGATTCCCCTGTACCAAGGGAAAACTACTAGCTTTACAGCTACAGGGAAAGGACAAGGCTAGGTTCAAATCTTCAGTCTGTATAAACTTTTACCATGTTTGGATTTATTTCGTGCATCACAGGTGGTAATGCAGATACAGCCACACCATAATTGATGGTGTGTTACTTGCTAATATAATCATACAATCTGTTAATCTAACAACGCTCGACAGATACCACCAATTTCTTTCCTACACATACTGTGAGCCAGTTATCATTTATCTTATAACAAATGTATTGTTTATGGTGAGAATTCAGACGTTTGAATATTCATATCTTGCCCTTTTGCTCTTGATCTGAAGGGTCTGTTTTGAAAAACTGTACGCTGCTTCCCTTGATAGAGCAGACTAGTCTCCAGAACTTTGCTGTTCGTTCCTGGATTTTCAGCTTCTGGGGGGTTGTTGTCTTATATCTACTGCTGGATGTAATTCTGGAGTTTTAGTCCTCAGGGCAGGCTCTGTCTTCACTTCGATAATTGACAGTGCTGGAATCTTCATTAGTGATTGTGAATTTCATTGAAGAATTTCTCTGCAGATAAATACTGTAAGCAGCAAATTATCATGTTTAAGTCCAGTCACCCTGGAACAGCTTTAAGGAGGCAGTGCAACAATTTTGTCACTAGAAGCTGCGTGCCTGGAATATTAACAGATATGGTTACTGGTGGATTTACCTCAGTCTTAACGTCTGCATCCTGCTGTTCTTTATTTTATCTCCATTCTCTAAAAAATCCCGTCTTCATTCATGATCAATGTGTGTTGCTACATGATTTGTTCCCGTTAGGTTTGGCCATGGTTGTCAGCTTGCCTCCAGCTATAGTTACTCTCACCCAGTTCTCTATGCAGTAAATTTGACCTTTAAAGCCCTCTTCTAACCGCAGTTGTTGCTTCTCGCATAACTGTTTTTGTTCTAGGCTGAGTCTTCTTCAGTATTAGAAAATCATGCTTTTTTATGCAATGGTAACTTGCTGAAATAAGAGCACTGTTGAACACTCTTAGCATGATTCATTAAACTACTGGTCTCCTAACAGCCTAGACCTCTCTTTAAAGCCAAACTGTGCTCTGGCTCTGTATTTATGCAAACATCTTTGACTGCATTACAGTTAGCACAGTCATTACTCACACAACTGCACTGAAGAAACCTTGACTACGACATCAACTGACTTTTTCCCTGTCTAATCACGAGTTTACATAAAACTGAATCTTAACTTTATTTTAAACTAGCAAAGTTAATTATGGCTTCAGTCTTTCTAATGAGATGCAGAATGTTTTCCCTGTTGCAGAAAGGAGCCTTTGCATGGGATAGTTGCAGCTGAAAATGATAGCAGTGTTTAGCTGCATTTTTAACTTTTGGGTTGGGTGTGGTCCCTTAAAAAAATAGTTATGAATAATGCCTGCTGGGAGCTTGCCATATTTCAATAGATTCCGTATAAAACCTATTCTTTACTATTTTAAGACTCCCAAACTCTCTTCAATTAATCTGTTTCTAGAGCCATTATTGCCCTTCAGCCCCCAGGAGCCAGAGGACACACATTTTGTATTGCTGTTTGTCCTGTTAGGAGGTACCTAGTTCAGGCAGTTTTAAGAATACACAGTTAGGAATCTGCAGGATAGGGAACTGGAGCGTTGCTGAGCTTATTGGTGAATTGACAAAGGAGACAGGGGTTGAGCAGTGCTTCTTGAGACCTCATTTATGCTGTGGGCTTAATGCTCTGCATGTGAGACTGGGAGGGGAAGAGCCATGTGAAAATCTGTTTACATGTTCTGTTTCTGTGGTGCAGCACAGAGACTGTGCTGGCACCCTACGAGCTCGTGGCCCTCTTTCTGTGGTGCAGTCGGAGGGGTTTTGATCTAACACGGAATGGACATGCTCTTTGCTCAGCAGTCAACACCCAAACTATCAGAACAGCTGTGTTTTTGCAAATTTGAGCTGCAGTCAAACCTTAGAGACTTCCCCTCCCTTCCCTGGGGAACCTCTGGATTCCTTTCTTTTACCCATTACTTCACACCTTCCTCTTTAAGATTCTACCTTTGCAAGTGTATCTTTCCAGATGTTCTCAAATATAAAAAGGAATTCCTTTTGTTACACTGTGGCTGATTAAATGGATGTAGTGCATTCTTACCCTGGGGACTGCAAATCAGTTTCTTTAGTACTACCTGGTGTCCTCCCGTCCTGCCGGAAGGTGCATATAAATCCACAACACTCATGTATGGATTGTGGGTCTGAAAGTGCCAAAATCAATCCAGGACTGTACGTATTCCTTTTTTTTTTTTTTTTTTTTTTTCAAAAATTTGCATTTTTCCAAGGTATGTTGGAGATCCAGCTATGAACCTCTGTTATGTGGCAGAATTTATTTCAGGGTTTGTTGACTGAACCTGGACTACAAAATGAACCTCCACAGAAATGGAACTGTAATATTTTTACTCTACCAGGTTGCATGCAAGCAAGTTGCTTTGCTCCATATTAAAATTCCCATACAGCACACCACTGCACATGCTGCATCCCATGTAGAAGAGAAAACAATGTCTGTCCTGGTCTAATATGCATCACTTGCTGCTTTCCTGGAAGGTGCTCAAAAGAACTGAATTTTTTATAAGACCTCCATACAATGGACATTAATATAAACTACGAGGATGTAAAGTCTGGGCTAATGCCATGTTGTAACAGAGTGTTTAAGACAAGAGGAGGTACCAGTTGGGGAGAAATGGCTTTGAAAGCTTTGATAAGCCTATGGTGGCAGATGAAAATTGGGTATCTGAGGCTTTTACACGCTCCAGCTGGTGGCTCTGCCCTTGAGGTATTGATGTCTGATCTGCTTATGATTCAGCTCCTGAACTCTTTCAACTTTCATTGTGGCATAAGGTGAACTGAAACTGGAGCCACTTAGCTTTTAGCCCAGCCTATTGAAACTAGTGGTGGCCTGGGAGCTGATTGAGAAGAGTTGTGACATCCCTTTGCAGGAGAGTCAGGGCAAGTGACTGGGAAAGTGGCCGTGAAAGCATGCCTAGTTTTTCATCTGCTGCTACAAACCTCTTGGAGCCCTAAAATGTAACCCTCCTTTAACAGGAGGTTTTGGCTTTTGTCTGATACCGCATAACTTGCCAGATGCCCATACTCTTGAAGTTCTTTGATGCTAGAGTTGTGCTCTAGGAAATATTTTCCTCCCCTTGCATCCAGCTTTGGGGGGAGCTGTTTTTATACTGCCTGATTTAAAAGGAGAGAATGAATTACAGGTGCGTATTTCAACTTTAATCTTCCTTCTGGGGGGAAAACTTAGTTTGAAAATAAACTGCTTTTCTTTGTAGCTTCATTGTTGCTGTTTTTCTTGCCCTATAAATGTTCCGCAGAGCATTTTGAATTATATTTGGCCCTTATCTCTATAGATAGTCTCAGTTTTTCTTCAATAAAACCTGTTAGTTAATGTACAAACTTGTGATGGTCAAGCAAGGTAAAATATACCGTGCAATTATGTCCACTTGATGTCAGTTATGGAAGTCTTAACTCCTCCTTTCAGCTGGTAGTAATAGAAACAAACGTGACTGTTGCTGGAGCTTCTTATTTTGTGAGACATAAAAGCTTAAGTAGTACTGTCTTCAAAATAAGACTGCTACCAATGGGTGATTTTGAAGCCCTTCCCTGTCTTCTACATTTTTAAATGAAAATGAAATTGCTTCACAATTCTGCTCAGGGATATTTTAGGTAGCTGACAGGTTTGAATCAGAGAATCTATTTCATGCTTCAGTCAGTTTAAATGACTTAAAATTAGAAAAATAGAAAGTTAGAAAAAGAATCTGCCTTTATACTTCCTCTCCCACCAAAACCCACAAAAGTGGCCCATGTTTTTTCAGTGCTGAGATAGTGGGCTTCTGTAACTTCTGAGGAGGGCTGACTTGGTCTACTGAGATCGTAAGCCCATCAGAGGAACTGTGGGCATGACTCCTAAAAGGGCAAATTAGAACAAACTACTCCAGTTTTCAGAAGGTAATATGCTGGTTGGTTTGGATTACTTTTCTTTCTTGCTCTCCCTTATCACTTCAGAGTTTATAAACAATTTATGATTTGTGGTAGGCGTTATTACAGTTTCTGCTGAGTGAATGACCCCTATCTGTGTTGATGAGCTTTGGGAGGGGAGTTAAGTGGCAGATGTCTGTTTTGTCTATTGCACTTTCAGAAAATCTTGCTTGTGTATAAAAAAAGCTTTTGATGCTGAATGATCTGGTACTGGATAATAGATCTGAAATCTTTGCAAGAAAAAGCAGTTGTTCATATTTATATTTTAAACAAATGTGAATATGGAAGAATACAGTTTCAGTACTAAATTAAGTATTTTATTTTTTTTTCCCCAGAAAACCATAGCTAAAATTGCAACATGCTTGGAACTGAGAAGTGCAGCTTTACAGGTATAGCTCTTTTTCCTATGTGACTTAATACTTTAGTGATAGGTAAATTTAGAGGTTTTTTAAGTTAGCTTAGGTTTCAGATGTAGCCAAAACTTCTGAAAACAGAGCAAACAAACCCTTGAACATTTGGACTTTCCAGTTTGTCAACATGAGGCCCCAGGTTGCTGCCTTAAAAACTTTTAAGTGCTTATATGAGCATGTATTAGAGTTTGTAGAGGAATTTAACTGCAGCTTTTATGTCTTTGGTTCTTTGCCTCATTTTCCTCCTTCAGAACTGATTACTTTGTCTTCCTAACCTGTGTTCAAGGGTAAAAAGATCCCCAGAGTGACCCTTGCACTAATTCAGCCACTTCACGAATCATAACAGAGCACAAGGAAGAATATGTGTGTAGAATAAAAATGACTTTGTAGCAGTCATGAAAACTGGCAGTGCTGAAGGCAAATGTGTGAAAATAACGGTTTAGAAGCTACTCTTTGGACTTTTGTCTGGACTGAAAGTAGATATCATGGAAGTGAATTTCTTTTTCTGTCAGCACAATCTTATCCCCAAAACAGAAGGGAAGCGAGAGAAATTTCCAAAAAAGTGTGATTTGGGGGAGGGATGAATCAACTGAAGCAAAGTTTGGCTTATTGGGTTACCTCTTTACCAACAAAAAAACTGGTGACAGGCAAATCTTGCATCAAGTTATTCTCAGCAGCGCTCCTGAGTACTTTCTGTTGCTGTACAAGGTGCAGCAGCTCCATTGTGCTGCCTTCAGTTGTCTGAGAGGCTGGGATGCAGTGACAATTTAGGCAGCATGCTGGAGCTGGACTAAGGAGGTGGGGGCTGACCAGTATGGAGGCTGGGTGGCATTTGAAGAATTATTTGGTTAGCTCTACCTGTCGTTCTGTTTTGATCTAATATGGGGTGTTTGAACAGTGCTGCGCTTGTTCTGACTCCCTGTGACTTTGTGATGAGGGCAGACATGTTCCCTTGTGGGGACAGTTTTGTTGTGGGTCAGAACACGTCTCAGAGCAACAGCAGATGGTTCAGCAATGTCATAACCTGCCAAACTGAAGAGATGATGTCTTGCAAGAACAGCCTTCCTTGCTGTTGGTTCCTCAGCAGTAACTCAAGGATATTATAACTTCATGTGAGGGTACTAGAACTTCTCATCCACTTCACTTTGGGGAATGTTTTATGTGCTGCAGTTTTGTTATGGTTTCTTAGCAGAGATTAAAGCAGTTAGTGAGTGTGGTCATCTTTTCCCATTCTTGTAATGGTATGGGTATAGCTGCTTTACTGTCCTTCTCTAGTCTTGCAGAAGGTCCCTGTGGACACTTGGGCAAAATCAAGAAAAAAAACCACCACAATCCCACCAAAAAACACTGGGCCTTAAAGAAATGTTGAAGACAATGGGTAATCTTAAGAGATGCCAAGGGCTCAATGAGGCAGTACATAAGACCTGATCCTCAGCCTGAAAGAGGATGTCCAGTGTCAATTCTCTTATTTGCACCACTTTTCTTATGCCAGCTTTGCCACGTCTTTCTCAGAATAGGCTAGTTCAGTTTACCAAACTATCAGCGAATTACCTCAGAAAAAAAATTTTAAAACTTTTCTGTTGAATTCGTAAGTTAAATAGGCTTACTGAGAAGCAGACATGCTACAGCCAGATGAGGAAACTGCAGCATCAGAGTTGGAGCGAGGAGAGATGAGAATCCCTCTTCCATTTGCAGTGAGCTCTTAGCTGAGTGTTTTGTCGAGCTCATCCTGTATGCTGTAACTTCTGCCAGTGTTACAGTGTTTGGATGTGTCTTGAACTGAGAATGCTCCTGTTGGAGCATCACTTTGCAGTGCAGTCTTACAGCTGATTCTACTTCAGAATAACTTCACTGCGGAAGAATTAAAACAAGTCCCTCGCTTAATGTTCCTGTGCATAGTAAGTATGAAAGATCAACTAGTTGCTTTAAAGTTACTTACCTTGCATTAGAGCAGAGCTTAGAACATGGGATGAGTTTGTTCTCAATAAATGAGAAATAATATACTTTCCGCCTGACTTGTGAACCTAGCCTCTGTTGGGGAGGTTTTGTTCTGTTTTTTTATGACGTAGCTTTGAAGTAACCTGGTATGCTTGAGCAAAGGAAGCACCTTGCATGCTTGTTCTAACATATGGCAGCTCTGTCTGAGGGGGAGATGCATACTAAATTCTAACTCTTTCTTTGTAATGTCCTAGTCCACCCAATCACAGGATGAATTTAAGCTTGAGGATCTGAAGAAGTTGGAACCAAGTAAGTAGCATCTTTGTATTTTAAGCGAGTGACATTTACCATTACAGTGGAAAATGTGACAGCATTATGAATACTGACTGACCACAGTGTGGTTTGACAGTAATGCTGGTTTTAGGTGGCTCTTCCAAATATCTGTTACCATGTAGCCAAAACTTGATGTGTATTAAGGAATGTAACGTGGGTAACTTCAAAGTATAGTAGTCCTAGTGTTTCATTTAATGTATTTGTCTATTCTCAAGTAAGTGCTGCTAATTTTTGCACAAAATAGTAATTTAAGCTATCAGTAGTATAGTATATAATCAGCTGGAAAATTTACCTGCGCATTTCTTTTTTGAAGTGTATTTCAGCGCTTTGTGGTCTTCTTCCTTGCAGTGTGAAATTTATTTTTTCTTCTGAAAATATTTAACTTGTGCTTATGGTGGCCAGTCACCTGTCTCCTACCACTGTAATGCTACCAGACTAACGAAGTTAAGAGTCAAAGTGAGGATGTGAGTCAGTCTTTGAAGGGTTTTGTGTGATGTTGTTTTTTCCCAACTGATCCTGGGTCAGTTCTTGGTATGTTAGTCCAGAAATAACTTTTTCATGTAGGAAGTATCTATTTATCTGCTCCGTTTTCCTTCCCATAACACTGGCTGCTTTATTCTCAAAGCATCCTTGCGATCAGAGCTTCCACATCTAATGCTAATGTTTCTGCTGTTCTTGGGGAACAGGAGATGTGGAAGTGCTTCTTTCAATGCTGGCAAAAGCTGATTTTATTTTGCCGCTGTCACAATTGTATCATTAAGGGGGATGTTAGGGATAAGCATGACAGGCAGACAAGTGTTTCCACTTCATGAATAAGCTGAGTTTCTCTGCACTCCCATTCTCTAAGTAACTGGCTCAGGATCCTACAGGGAAGCTTGTCAAGAAGCAGGGCATTGAATTGAGGTTCCTCATGCCTCTACCAAAACATAGAGTGCAAATGCTTTTAAACTGTTCCCTGAAAATTGGAAGTGAAGGTATTTTACAAGACTGCTAGGTCAGTGAAGACCGTAACTTGGGAAAGGGTTTAACTGTGTGTTGGACGTATTAGGTCTTTCTCAGTTTATATATTGCATGTTTGGCCTCTGCATCCTCTGATTTGGGATTGTTTTGTATACATACTCCTGCTGTCCCTTTATGAAATATTTAAAATGTAATCATTTAATGACTCTGGATTTTAGACTCCATTGTGCAAATGCCTTGTGAGTGACTGAATGATGGAAGGAGAGGAATCATGTTTTAATTGATCAAACTGTTCTACAAACCAAAGAAGTGACTGTTGAAGGTTTTAGTCACAATTTACATTCTGCCGACAGACATAAAGCTTCCTTTGAAATGCCTCCTTTTTCCTAAAAGTCAAAATCTCAATTATGGTGCAACAGCCCTGTTGCTTATCTTGCCCTCCATCAGCGAATTGATATATTTTTTTTTAGCTGTCAAAAAACCTGTTCAACAGTGTGTGAAACACATTGAGCCCACACTTCATACAAGCAACTATATTAAAACTGAGGAAGAGTGTGTGGCCATCAGTTTTCAAAGACACTGTGTTGTTTTCCTTGGAGGAGAATGGGTGCTTCTACAACAACAATTGAACATTGATGTTCTCAATGCTGCTGTCTGACTTGGATATTTCTGGCCTCTTTCTCTCTGAATTGTGCCTTTGTTTTGTGGTTTTTAAGTATATCTTGAATAGAGTAAATCTTCATCAGGCCAACTCCAGCCATTTCATAAAATACACCGCGAAGTGTTTTAATTTGTGTTGTCAATTTTCTCTTGCATTCCACCAGAAAAAGCTAAAAAAAAATCTGGGCTGGCAATGCAAATAAGTGATTCCTTTGTTAGGCGAAGCCATTCTGTTAGGGTGGAAGAAAACAGCTATTCACTCAATTTGGCTTGTTTTAATTACTTTTGTGCCTTAAGCTGTCAAAATGGCTGAGAAATTTGGTTTGGGTGTTGTTATAGCAACCAGGGCCCTTAGATTTAAACTTTTTTTTTAATCTTGTGTTGTTAAGTTCTAACTTTCC